GGACACGGCGGGCGGCACGTTCACGATTCAGATGATGGACCTGGGCGCGGAGAAGCTGGAGATGACGGCGGGCACCATCGAGCCGATCTTCAACGACTACCTCACCGAGTTCCTGCAGTCCATCCCCGACAACAAGGCCTCGCGCGTTTTCCTCTCGCGGTACGTGTGCGCCGCACTTTTTGCAACGCCTTGTTTGTTCTGCTCGAATCTCCTCACAAGTGCAACCCTTGTTCCAATCCCTCAATGACCTTTTTAAATATCAGAATTTCAGAGCTATGGCTTGGTTCAAGTAGCAACCTATCCTTGTCGTGGTCGGCACGAATGTAATTGCGGGAACGGTGAAGCTGAGAGCTATCCGTGTCATTGTCGGCGCGGATCGAGGTGCGCGAGCGAATGAAGCTGAGAGCTGGCGAATCTTTGCAGTCAGAATTGGAAGGCCGCTAGTGTGTACCGCAAGTTGCGGCTGAAAAATACGTCGTCTGGGCCAGCCTGAAATTTACGGAGCCCTCTCAAAAAATAGAAAGGGAGCTCATGAAGAAATCTGGCAAACGGTTGCAAGACAACTTTCTGCGTCGGTCCGACTTCTCGTGCAGGACGCCCTTGGTTTTATTTCAGCCGTCTAGCTCCAGGGGAGGGGTTCCGCTATTGTCGTCTCCAAGTTCAAAACTTTGGAGATGAAAATTATCAATCTCACTTTGTTCACGTCCGCTCTTCAGGAATGCACGGCAGTATCTGGCCCTTCCGGAGGAGGTGGCGTTTCTGAGAGCAACCGCCCACACGCGCATCTACAACGGCCTCGAGTGCAAGATCACGTGTCAAAATTCCAAGGTCAGTTTCGACACTCAGCATTTGAGGTTGTCAGGTTCATTGATTTGTTGCTTTCTTCCAATCGTTTGGACGATGTTTCAGTTCCAGTTGGGGATTTTGTGCTTGTGTTTGTCTTGCTGCGGCAGTGATGATTGTTGTTGCACGGTCTACGTCGCTGCTTGAGTGAGTTGGTGATCCTAGTAGCTTGATCGTGGTCAAAATCCACTTTTCTGATTAGTGTCTACTTTTCGTGACAGGTGTCCTACGTTCTGGACACGGAGGACTTGTTCCATAGGAAAAAGGGGGCGAAGGCGGGTGCTGGTAAGGCCGCGGGTAAGGCCAAGGCGCGTGTTGAAAAGTTCCAAAGATGGGTCGAAACAAAGACTGGAGCCGCAGCGCTACCTCCGCCCGAGCCGCAACCGGCGAAGCTTGATTGACATGTAAAGGTCTGAAGTTGACGAGGGCCCCCTTAGGGAGCCGCCGGAGGTTTCTTGAGATGCCGCAAGTGACGTCTCCCCATCCGTACCCCGTACAGTAGGTACCCATTCAAAAAGTAATTCCATTGATGTAGGTAAGAGAGAGGCCCGAGCGCGTGTCGGAACGGATGTTCTTATGACTGGACAGTTGCTTTTGCAACGTCGCCGTTCTTCCTGGTCTTGAAGATCGTCTGCAGGTATTTGAAAGGCGCAGCCTGTTGATTGCACATGTTTTTGCATGCATATAGGATGCTCACGAAGGTCAGGGATGGGGCGATTCAAATCTCATCAGAGTTGTGGTTGTGCTTCAATCAAGGTTGGAAAGACTGCATGTGCAAATTCCCATGAAGCTTGATGGTTACTGCACGACTTGTTCTACGTAGTCTCTTCAAAGAAAAAGTAGGCGCGTGATGTACGTGTAGCTGATGAACATTCTCTTTAGATGTGTACTAAAGCTAGCCAGTGACTTGTAACGTGATTGAAATGATGCAAGTTCATATGCATTTCCTACTTTCGAAAGCTTTTGACATGTGGCCGGGCGCAAGATTTCTCCTTCGGTATCCGGACATCATTCATCATTCAATGATTGCATTGAAGCTAAATTAGGCGGCCACCTTGTGCTACAAACTTGCATGTTTCGCATGATGTGTGAATCTTGCCGCCACTGTCTCAAAATGCATCCCTCCGGCCGTCGGAGCGCTCACATGAGACCCACGGAGATCGCGGCCTGGAAAGACAACGTGCCCGTCCATCATTCTGTGCAAACGTCATCGTATATGCTATGCGACGCTAAATTATGCCAATCTACTCTGAGCTGTTCACAGTCTTGAAACCAGAGGCGCGACTGTTTTGCCATTCTCACGGTGCAGAAAGCACGAGTGACAGTGGCGTGAAGATCCACCTTCCGGAGCACTACTCTAGTTGCTCGGATCCAGTCTCGAAAAATAAGAGAGGAGACTTTTTCCAGATTCACGGGGTGCAGAAAGCGCGAGCAGCACCAGTGGCAATGCGCATTTTCACACCAGACATATGGGCTCACACGCGGCTACACCCCGCGAGCGTGCTCGCGGGCGCGGAGGTGTCCCCAGCGCTCGGAAGGTGCTCATGCATACGACGCTGCTGGAGACGCATTAGCTTTACGTGACCAACCTGGTGAGAGCGCTTGATCTTGGATAAGACAAAGCGGTGGCGTGTAGAGCTCTGTCACCGTTTAATGGACGCGCCGTCACGAGTGTCGACCTCAAGATTGCATGTGAGTTACCACGACAGCAGCGATTTCGGGATATTCTGCGGTTATGTATGCCGAGTGCGCAGCCGCAAATTGTTGCGTGCACGCTCTGAAGAGTACACTTCATTGGCAACCACAAATGCTTTGCACCATCTATTGGTTACGGCCGGGCACTGGTGGCTTGAATTATCCGGCCTCGGGCCCGCCCTTCGACAAAGCTGTTAATGTTGCATCATACTTCTTCTTTTGCGGCACTACACGCGGGCAGAAGACTGTCACGGTATGAACTCACTAGGGATCGACTTGAACAATTTCTACTATGTAATGGATCATGGATGTGGCAAACCGTCATGGTTTCTTTCTAGACCACTGTCAACTCGCCATTGATCAGATGATTCGACTTTGTAATGTGCGCAGTCAAGCTCGCTTGAAAACCCGTAGATCGCCCACGTCGGAACACTGTGCATGAGCTACCACAGGCTTTGATGTGACCTGAAATGCATCCACTCTGTAGCGAAGATAGACTACTCTTTTGAATCAACCGTCTTTTCTTGGAAACGGAATGGAAGCTTGAACGCAATCTTGGGTTGGATCAACGGCTGCCTACGTTTTTTCGCGTGATTTGATTAAGAGTTACTAGCTGGTCAAAGAACCGACCACTCGTGTTCGTTTGTGGTCAAACCTTTACCAAAAGCTCGATCCAGTCCAACTCGAACTCTCCAATCACAACGGTTGCAACTCCAAGTACTACCTCCCGCACAGACTTGCTCGGGCAAGTGACTGATTCAAGCTATGCCTTAGGCTTGAGCGCCTCTAGACGGATCTCACGAATGGCGAAGAACTTGATGTTGTAGCCAAACGTGAAAAAACCCTGGCCGTTGTCACTCAGGGTGCTCTGACGCGCGACACCTGTCGCGCCCGTGTAAATGCCGGTGCCGCCCACAACTGCCAGGTCGGTCGGCGTGTTCGCGGAGAGTCCCTATGAGAGGATGCCACGTGTCACTTGCAGGCGAAACGAAACGATAAACCATTCCAGGAAGATAACTCTCAAGAAAGATAATAATAAGCCAAGATAATTATTATAAGCTCCGGCTAACACTTATAAAAACCCTAACCTAAAAGATACCTGCTCCGCACCCGTACCCACCCTAACCACCAAGCTAACCCTATCCGTCCCAGGGCGGTTACCTTATTATTATCTCGGCTTACTATTATCTTTCTTGATCAGCTTCATTCCAGGAACCACCCGGCTAGTGGCCGGTGCTGCTTTACTCTGAATGAGGGTTCAGAGAATTTGCGTTCAGCCAAAACTCCAGCACTTTGGAGCTGTCGGTTGTCAGCAATCTGACGGTCTTATAACTTGAAAGTGACGTTCTTTCAAGAGGAAGAGGGCATTCGAACCTCGGGCGATCCAGACCACCCAGCAGGCGCGCATTGAATATCAGTCCACTGAGAACCACGTCCAAGGATGAGCAAAGCCAATCACGCTGACTTTCGTGTTCAGAAACAGTCTTAGTGAAGTTTCTTTTCAGAATTTCAGCTGACCCGATCAGGCTTACCGTGACTGTGAAGGAGCCTTCCTTGTGAATGAAGGAGAATTCACACTCTATCTTGTAGCTGCCTGTCACGGGGTCGAGAGACTGTGTGAATGTGCAGATTCCTTGGACGAATCCGAAGCGCTCTCCGGTGTTAAAGTCCTCCACCCGATCACTGCCAAATGGAAGGAAGCGGAGGGATCAGTAAGTCGCAAACGCTAATCTGACACAAGTCGTTGAGCTTTTAAGTACAAGAGTAGATCCGCTCTCCGAGCAGACTCATCAGCACAGTTTTCCTCCTTGCTTGAGCAAGTTCTTCAAACATGACACTTTGATACTTGTTGAGTCCATTACCTGATAGAAGGGACTCGGTATACTGGCTTAACCAAGACCCTAAGCACGTCAAATAACGACGCTTTCAAAAATAAAGCCCACTCAACCACCAAGCCAACCCCCATAGCAAAACATGGATTCATAGCGTGCTCACTTGAACCACACGATGTCTCCAAAGTTGGTGCCGTTGCTTTGCTGCGTCTCAGGAGTGGCAAACTCCCTGAGCTGCAGTCTGAACTCCTTGTACTCCGGCTTCTTCTCGAAGCCGTCAGCGCGCGCGCTCGAGCGCGCGCTCGCGCATACGCTCGCGAGCAGATGGGTAGTCAGCGCGAGCATCTGCAATCAGACGGAAGAGTGGGTAAGATACGCAAAAAAGGGAGCTCGAAGGATCTAAGAGCTAATCCCTGCGACAGAAGTCGTAGAATTGATGGCGGGTTTCACCTTTGCACCAGAAAAGTGTCAAATATTAAAGGTCAAGGATGTCAAGTGCTCAAGAGCCTATGACCAGGAAAGGAATCCGAAGGACGCAAATAGGAAGCAAACGAGCTGAAGGGAAAGTTACAGGGAGGGACAATCCACCGTAAGACTTTTGAGCGCCATGTTGTCAGGCGGATTCGACTTGGTGGCTTTAGGAAATCAGAGAAGAGGACATTCTAAGTGCAGTGCCCGGGTTTCTGCGCTTGCTTCAAAGATTGCAGTGATTCGAAGTCCCAAGGTTGGCGTTCGAAGAGGTGGCAGAAGTGATCAGAATGATTTTGCTGGTCTCCCTTTTATACCTCTACTTTTGTTGCACCGCTGGGAAGTGCGCTATGAGGCCTGAACTCAGTTTGATTAATTAAGCAGACTGAGCAGTCTGCGTGTGTGGGCTCTTGTTGGATTCGAGCTTTCTGACACGAGAATTCGTCGTACTAGTGTTCATTGGTGCCAGATCTCAGAGCTACTAGATGGATCATAGACCCTGAGCAGACTATATGCATACTATAACGGAATGGCAGTAGTCGACACTCTCAACCAAAATCCTAAGCCATCGCGTGACTTGTGATCTTTTACTCCTTTACCCGTTCTTATCTCAGTCTTTCTCCTTCAAGTCTATGCTCTTTGCAAGGTCGCGCTATACAGGTTTGGTATGCTGAAACGACCCAAGCCAAGCGGCCCCTCGTCAGTAACGTATTCAGGACATTTACTATCTTCCAATTAGTGCGCTTTCTGTATCAGCAACGACCTAATGAAGCCTCGAACGGACTCGGCCGCCTTTCCAAGCATTGAAGACTCTGTAAGAAAGCTCCCCAACCCTAGTTCGTTGCTCGAGTACGAGGGGTGTCTCATTCGGCCTGAAGTCTATGATCAACAGATAGCATGTTTAGCGCACTTGGCATCACATTTCCGTCCAATCCTCGAATCTGACGATCTCTATTAGGGTTCTCCGTTGACCTACACTCCGAGCTGGCGCCCCTGGATTTTCAGTCGCAAAAGAAAATGTGATTTGAAGCTGAACCGGTTACGCGACTCCCTCCTTCTGATCATCGATGAATTCGCTTGGTGACCTCGCCGCCGTCGTCCTTGGTATCGGAAGAGACTCTAGAAACGACAAGACCAGATTTCTTTTGCGGATAAGCTACCAGTATTTGACTGACGGCTGATCCTCCATTAGAAGCTTTCTCTCGCTGTCATCAATATAAGAGAATGAGTTGATCTCCAAGTTGGACTACCTAGGTGGTCATTCTTCCAATATGACATGAAATGCGAGGTTTCAGCGGATGGCCTTTTGCGGACCTTGGCAATTCTGCGCGGTTCTCGCCTGACGCTCTTCACGCTGGCTAAACCTTTCTTGAAATTGTCATTGGGTGAATGTGTGTTCCGACTGATCGTAGACACCAAAACGAATTTAAGACCCGCTTGATGTGCTTCTTGGGCAGCACAGCATGCGTGGTATATGCGATAAGGCAAGAAAGTCAGAAGGCACAATCTGGATTCTCTCTAACACGAAGCTAGACGCTGCTTTGACCGTCCCTCAACTATGGTCCATTTGGCCCTTACATGCGTAACCCGCCGCTCAGCCCGTGCGTGATCCGGTCCTTGCTTGTGCCACATGGTTGCCGTTGGCCGCGTCAAGACGTGCTTAACCTGGCCCCTGACCGTGCTCAACTTGGCCCCTAATCGTCGTTCGCTAGGCCCTTAAACGTACTTTACCGGAATACATTCTGATCACGTCAGATTATGCGCCCGCACATAGTGACAATTGTAACGTATGACTCGGTGCATGATCGATCGATCGATCAATCAATCATATGAGAGAGCTAGCAGAAGTGGAACACGTCGATAGGACGTAAGGCACTGAGCTTGTACGAGCTAGACCGTCGTATGAAATTGGGCGAAAGTCAAATGATGCATGAGAAACTTCATGACCATCCTCTGCATCCGCTCTGCTTAGACTTGCATGCGGGCGCCGGAAAAGGTTACGCGCGCCCTTTGCAAAACTCCCGACTCAACTTATTGACACAGGCAACATCCAGTCTTCCGTATGGTCCCGCAAAAACTCGTGTTCGACTCCGGTACAAGCATACAATGCAGAATCAAAGTATCGATACCCCTCATGAGCCTGCCGGAGCCGCTAGTGCGCTTTGGTGTTGCTCGACTATCTTCTTTCGCTGCGCATGCTCCGCGACCTTGTACGTCAAAACTTCCTGGAACAGCTCTGGTGTCAACTCGCTCTTTTGGCTCCCGTACGCGGCTCCTTGCATGCTCACCATGAGCTTTGCTAACTCGCGCCCCGAGAAACCTTCCGTCTTTGAGGCGGCCTCTTGAAGGAGCTGCGTAAGGGAGAGGACGACGGCTTCAGGTAGGTGAATCTGGCGACATATGCAGTCCAATGAAGTCTTGCAATAACCAGAAAAAAGCAAAAGAACCTTCGCAAACAAAAGCATCACTTGCTGTGAACCCAGGCAGTCCGAGAAAATGGAACCAACTGGTTGGAGCGAACTCGGTTAACAACGATTCACAGAAACACGAAACTGTCCGCAGATGCAGCTTTGTTTTGCGAACCGACTATACTGCACTCGTCCGGACAAGGAGTGACACGAAGAGGAGTCGATCGAGGAGATTGTACTGGTGAATGCGCTCACGTCATCCGTAATCCCCCGCACTTCGATCTTGTCCGAGCCCCCCCGGAGCAGCTTCCGCCACGACGACCGGCTGTCCTCGCCCGCACGCATCACGTACTTGTCCAGGTATAATCGTATCAGCTTCTCCCGCTCCTGCTCGCCGGGCAAGGGGAACTCTAGAGCTTCGTCCACTCGATCGACGACGGCACGGTCCAGGTCTTCCGGCCGGTTGGTCGCAACGACGAGCACGATGTCGCGCGACTGGTCACCGGTGCGGTAGAGAAGGGCGTTCAAAGCGCTGCGCAGATTCTCGCTCATGCTGACCGCATTTCGCCTGCGAGGATTGCGCCAGCATTAGAACATGGGTCCCAAAGACGATCCTTGAAGAGAAGATCCTCGAAGAGAAGATCTCGCAACAGAAATCCAGTGCAGGTGACAAAATCTCAGGGTCGCAACTCTGTTGACATTTTTCTACTCTACGTATATTCTTGCGCGAATTCACGAAATCCCTTCGAACCGCACAAACGATCGAGGCGTCTCACTTTTACGAAACGCGTCCGCTTTGGCAACAGGAAAGGGAAGGCCCCTCCCTCATCTCTAATTGCAAAGCGAGCCCAAGATTCAAGTATGCCCTCTCCACTTGCATCATTCTGAAGAACACCGTTTTCGAACAAGAGCGGCGGGGCCTCACTCTTCCGAGAATGCTTCGGCCTCGTCGCTGTGATGCAGCAGCCCCTGAATCGTCCACAAAAGCTAACTGCTGCCCTTCTTAGACAAGCAAACGGCAGATCCACTGCGGGTCCAAAAAGACACGCAACCCTACTCCCCCAACAACTAGAGCGGCGGGGCCTCACTCTTTCAGGAACGCGTCCGCCTCGTCGATGAAGAGAAGCAGCCCCTTGCGGCTCTTGCCCGCCCAGTCGAACAGCTGGTGGATCTTGGTCACCGCGTCGGGCCCCAACGGGCCGACGTCACCCCCCGTCATCAGCGCGTAGTCGAGGCCCGAGTCGCGCGCGAGCTGCTTGGCGGCCATCGTTTTGCCTGAAAGGGGACAAGGAGGTGGAAGTGAGCAATCCGAGCTGGGAGAGAGACGTTGAGGAACAGAAATCTATACGTCAACTTTGCTTGAGTCGGGACGCATGAGAGTGTGGGTACGGGCCTTGCAAACGACGAATTGGGCGAGCGGAAAATAGATACGGAGCCCCGGATCAGGCCCCAGAAAAGCATTTCGGCAACAAAGCGATAAGCAAGGAATCGACGCCAATGGTCAGGTCTTTTGAGGCTCTACGGACATATAGCAGCGAGTACAAGAGCCAGCAGAACGAGCGGAAAGCAAACTGCAATTCAAAGGGCAAGCGACGAAACCTCGAAAGTGAGCAGCTATGACCAGATTAGGATTCCTGTCGAGGGGAAGGCATTAGGATTGCACCCAATGCGTTCATGTCCCGTCCTTACCCGTACCCTACGGTGGCCCGTAGAACACCATGTTCCTAAAACAAAGATAACAAAGACTTGATCAAAGGAGACGGCTTTTTGAAAAGGCGTTTCTTGAGAAGTTCAATTCAAACCTACCCGTCCCCGGCGGCCCGTAGAAGACCATGTTCCGGAAGGGCGCCCCGTGCTTCTTAGTGTTGGCGGTCGCGGACGCGAGCGAGCGCACGCGCGAGAGCAGCGCGGGGTGCAGGATGACGTCACCGAAGCCCTCGCCCTTGCGCATCGCGTCGGTCGCCGGGTTTGACGCGAGCAAGCCAGCGTTCGAGTGCGCACCGCGCCGCCAGAGGAAGGGGAACGTGGCGCGCGAGGATTCGCGGACGAGCGACGGTTGGCCGAGTACACGTTCGAGGTACCTGGGAAGTGATTGTCAGAGAAATCAAATAGTAGACCTCGTCTTTAAGACCAATATAGGAAGAGCGGGCCGAATTGTCGAGGGGAAAAGGATTTTGCGGATACTGACTAGGGACATCAATCAGCAAACTCCTCCTCAGAATTGCGTCACTGGGTGGTAGGCACCTTATTCATCGAACAATGACGACAGACCTCTTAGGGGCCGCTCGGTGCTTCCGGCCATGAGAGGGCGTGAAAGGCAGGGAGAGTGTGATCCGACACGAGCAAGTCGGCGACCAAGCTCGAAACTTCGAAGCGACATTAGGAGCTTTAAACATGCAAAAAACTTATCCACACCCACTCACCCGCCCATTCATCGTTTCCATCATCGTTTCCATCAGAAGACCGTCTAACGACTACTCTGTAGTTTACTCGAGTTCAATGTTGAAAGTCGACTCGGATTGAATATTGACTGTTCTCCTGAGTCATTATCCATAAAATCGTTGAGTACTTGACTCGCTTGGATGTTCATTCAAAACAGATTCTCACCTCCCGACCACCCGCGCCCCCTCCCGTGTCGAATACACCCCCGCCGCGAGTGCTGTCGTCACGATCACCGTCCGCGTCAGCTTCTCCCGGTCGCCCAAAAGTCCGTACACCCCTGCGCCGATCTGCCGGAACGTGGTGTTGATTGCCGCGAGCAATCGCTCCCGCTCTAGTTCCATCTTGGTCAGCAGCTCCCGCCGGTAGACGTCCTCGTTCTGGCGCCGCTCCAGCGCGCGCCCCTCAGCCTCCGCGAGCGCCTTCACGCGCAGCGTCTCGCGCTCCAGCTCCGCGCGCTCGCGCTCGCTCTGCCTGGGTGCGGGAACGAAGTAGGATCAGGAAGTGGCATTATGAAGGTGCGTGCTTTTTGATTTCCCTGTGCTTCGATAAGGCGGGGAAAACGAAGGCTCCACGGAAGAGTGTAAAGAACGCTCGCAGTGCCCCTCACAGTGACCGACGCAATCGTGTTTTAGAAAAGCTAGTGTGCCGTGCAGTGCCTGCAGTGCCAAGGGGCAGAGAGATACGTACGATACATGGACGATTTGGTTTTATCCTGTTCCCGATCGTCCGTTTTGTCAGGCTACGGCATAATTGGTTGAAATCCTTGAATTGAATAAATATCGTCTTGGGGTCGCTATGGGAGGGCACCAAGGGCCAAGAAAAGGTCAAGCAAACCACTCTGTGTCTTACTGGCTTCCATGTCCGCAGTTTAACTGCAGCTGATAACTGTAGAAGGCGACAATGGAAGCTGGATGAATAAGACCGGCGCCTGGAATAGAAAGAGGCGCTCAAGCTAGATGGCCCCCAGGATGAACCTATCACGAGATGGGTGCTTTTCAACGTCACCTAGCAGCAAGGTGGCAAATAGGTCAAGCCTACGGTTGCATCGAGCTCTCACCTCCGCTCTCTTTGTATTTGCTCCTCCGTAAGGCGCTTCACAGCCTCCTGCCGCTGAGAGGACTCCTCTTGCATCTGCGACAATCAGAGCAATCCACTTCAGCCCTTCAATCACCAACGGACCCCAACGAGATATGCGGATAAAGATGTTATCACCTGAACAATCCAGATGCCTTCCAAAAGCACAGTCCAAGGGGGCCTTAATCAACGGCGTCCTCTCGTCCTAGAGGAAAAGCCCACTCTTAAGGTCGAACTTCCCTAATTCGATGCGCGCGCGCGCGTTTGACGTCCTGGGGGACGTCTTCGCTAATAACAAGAGCGTCGTTCAATATTTTCGCATTCTGCTTTCTGCATGTGGAAGGGCTTTACAAAAGCTACCTTTAGAGCCACTAGCCGGCCGAAACCGACCACTCTAGCTACATGGTCAAAACGGCGATTTTGCCACTTTTTGGGCATTTTCTGAGCGCTGGGTCCCTTTACGTATTGGGTTATGGGGGTCGCTCCAGCAAATTTTTTTGGAGATCGAGGA